ATGGTGATAAGAGATGTAAGAGCCACCAATAAAAGTATTTAAGTTAAATATATTTTTTTAAAGGTTAAATATATATATGTTTATATATATATTTAAATTGTTTTACAGTATATAAATTGTTTTACATTTTACACAAGTAAATATATATAAAAATTGTAGAATTTAGAATATATATATATATAAATTGTAAAACAAACAAACAATAAGACCACTAGATCAAAAAAGAGGACTTATACCAAGGGCTCAAGTCGAAAGAAAATGTTTTGGAAATGATGACGAAACATGTGTACAAATATTCTTGATACAATGGACGTATGGAATGTTCTAAGAGCTGTAAGAGCCCCAGTAAAAGGATGTTTTTAAAAACACGCCTCCGCTCAAGTCAAGGCGCTGTCACCTTGAGGACTGAGGCCATCTGACCGGAGCCAGGGCGTTCTCCAAGCCCTCATCTGCAGGAGAGTTGGGAACGAATCAGGAAGACAGCCGAAGAGTGGGTGCGTCGTCGAGGGAGGGGCATGGGGAAGACTATGGAACCCCACAACGTCGTCCCAGAAGAGGCACATCCGAATGCTCCTTAGAAACAAGGATGGTGAGACTTCGTCTCATGCACTCTGGACATGGTGTCAGGAGGAGCCGATCCCTGGAGGACATCACGCTTGGTCAAACCACAGGGTCCGTGAAACAAAGAAAGACCCCGGGTGCCATGGCTTGACCCAGTGGCTGTCACAATAGGTCCAAACACAGCACTGGGGGCAATGGTTTGTCCTGTTACACATGGGGGTACCTGAGGTGGAAGTCCTTCAGTGGCACCTCATGACAAGAGTTAAGGATGTACAATCTGAACCGTCCAGAGGGAAGTCCAATGACATCGACAACTTATTTTTAAATGATCAAAGAGGGAGATGGATCGATCAGTACGGGTATGTGATAAAGCATGTTACTTTGTTCGTACTCTCCCCCGGGGCTCAGCATGTAGACGTAACACATTTTTGCCCTGAGGAACAAAGGAATTCCCTTACCCTCACGGAGCGCACGGGAGACTGAGGCAGACCCAGGCCACAAGACCGTATGCTCGGTGGTCCCTGGATGGCAGGGAAGAGAGAGGGGGAAGCGGAAGAGAAAGGACAGTAGACCCACCAGAAGCTGAGGGTTGGGAGACCATCGGGCATCTGCCAAGGGAAGAAAGGGGCAAGGGCCCTAGAAACATCAGCAAAGCCCTAGAAGAGAGTATCGGGTCTTCAGGTCAGGTGGCAGGTGCGCAGGGCTGCGGTGGGAGCAGAGGGAGTGGGCTCTTTCCTGCAGGAGTAAGAGCTGGCAGGTCTCAACCAGGGGCAACTGTCTTGGGCAGAGTTGGGGCTCTGAGAACTCACCCAGCGGCCAGGTTGAGAATGGATGGCAGACTGGCAAGAGTGAAGCGGGGACACCCAGCAGGCGGCAGTGAAAAGTTGTTGGCAGCCCAGCCAGTAAATTAGTAAGGGACCGGAGAGCGGGGTCAACTGGAGAATCACGTTCAGGGAGAGACTCACAGAAATTGGAAGTGGGAAGTAGGAAGTGGGAAGAAGTGACGCCAACCCCTGGGTATTCCTGGGACTGAGGTGCCATTCACACGTCCAAAGGTGGGGGCGGGATTGGGGGAGCTGGGAGGTGAGGCTGAGGCTCTGTGGAGATGGCATTTGGCTCTTGGAGTCTGGCGATCGGGAACACATTATACGGGCCGAAGGAGGGGACCCATGTCCTCCAGGGGCCAGGGAAGCCAGCAGGAAGAGGGCTGAGCCTGGACAAGCAGCACTGCAGGGCTCGGGAAGAGGAGAAGGACCGAGAATGGACAGGGCGGGAAGGTGGATGGGGCAGCTCTGGGCCCGAGCACCGTGGATGGGGCGCTTTCCAGAGTGTGTGGACATTGGGGAAGGGCAGGTAAGGCACGGTGCTGCACCCCGAGTGTGGTTTTTACAGCCCAGACACAGAAGGGGCCAGAAAGGGAGTGGAGACGGGTCTGGGCCCAGGACACATGTCTGAGCGCGGCGGGCTGGAGAGAGACTGACCTGGGGACAATTCAAAAGCCAGCCTGCCAATGCTGCTCTGAAGTAGCCATCCCAGGGAGGGACCACCCACCCCCATTCCCAGCCCCACTGATACCTAGATCTTCTGGTCCTTATCCCAGCAAAGTCCGTAGACCCCTCCCCTATAAAGGGGGGTAGCAGAAAAGACAGCTGTCATTCCCTGAGCGCTTCCCGTGCGCCACGCCAGGGCTTCCGTTAATCCTCAGGAGGGGCCCCCGGGCTGCACCCTATTACTGCTCCATCACGGCTGAGAAAATGGAGGCACGGGGCAGCGAGGTCACTTGCTTAAAGTCACCCGGGCAATGAAGGGGGCGGCCGCAACGCAAACCCAGAGTTCAGATCCTGGCCCTCCCCACGGTCCGGAGAGTCACACACGACACTACACAAAGCACTCTCGTCACCGTGTGGGGTGCATGCCTGCGGGGAGGAAGGCAACGACGACATCCGTGTCCAAGACATGGCACACGGTCGGCCACACGACACTCTGCCACAGACCCCTCTAAGGAGCCAGGGTGTCCCCCTGAAGACCACGGCGCCCGGCCCAAGCCACGGTTTCTCAACCACCTCCAGATGCACGTGCAATAGGGAAGAGGGCGGCAGAAGGATCGGGGCATCTGGATTATGGTGCTGGTGAAGAACAGTGACCGTGGGCTGCCAGGATTCCCATTAGGCATCCTTAAGACGCAAGGACGGCCAGGCTTGGTCTCATAGACTCTGAGCATGCTCTCCAGAGAGACCAGTCCCTGGGGAAGGACATCAGGCTTGGCAAAGCAGAGGGGGCCGAGAACAAGAGGCAGGCCGTCCATAAGGTCAATACCAGGACTGCAATCATGGCCGTAAGCATCACAACTGCGATGTTGGTGCGGGACCGGGCAGTGTTCCCTCTGCGGGACACAGACGGAACCGGCACCGAGACGCCTCACTGCCACCTCCAAGATGCGTGCATCCTCATCCCTGAACGCCGAGTAGGTCACCAGGCCTAGAAAACCGGGCGCGCTGTGATGAAACGGTCAGCACCCAGGACCCATGCAGTGCCATCACCAGGTCCTGGCAGAGGAAGGCAGGCGGGTCAAAGCCAGAGATGGAGATGTAACAGACACAGAGAGAGGGGCTGGGGGTGCCCCGCGGCTGGGTGGAAGATGGAAGACGAGGCCAGGAGCCAAGGAAGGCAGGTGACCTGTACAAGCTGGGGAAAGGCAAACAGTCTCTCCGGGAGCCTGTGGGGGGCATCCACCTCGTCGACATCTTGCCTGGAGGCTAGTGAGGCTGGTCATAAACTTGAGACCCCTCTCACAGGCCCGTAATGAAGGAACCCTGTAGGACTTGGAAGTGCCCACAAGCCACGGGGGCAGGTGAGGCCTACTGATGGCCCTCATTGCTCCGGTGACTACACTAAGGCCCAGAGAGGGGAGATGGCTTGCCTAGGGCCTCCTAGCTAGTGTAGGCCAGGATGAGGACTTCCACATCTTGACTTCAGATCTGCCAGACGGAGGTCCATGAATCCGCCGCTAAGACCCCTCTGAGGAGATGAAGACGCCGGGACTGTCCCTGTGAGGACTAACACCCGCCTGACCCAGCCGTGCTGTTAGCAAGAGGCCCCTCTGCATACGAGAGCTGGACAGTGAACAGGGGGACTGAAGAATGGATGCCTCGGAGGTGGGACGACATGGGAAGCACCCCGGACGGCTATCGGGGCAAAGAGGGTCTGCGTTGGAAGAAGTTCGGCCAGGGTGCCCCTTAGAATAAAGTGACCGGATTTTAACAGGGTAAAGCGGGGCACCATTGATAAAACTCCAATCCTGGCGAAATAGCCACATGGCAGCAGAAAACCATAAACCCAACTTGTCGTGCATTCTTTCCAAAAATTGGGACGTTTTGAAAACGCCGCGGGACGCGGGACAAATTGTGAAAAATCGGGACTGTCCCGCCAAAAGCGGGACGTCTGGTCACCTTACCTTAGAAGCAAGGCTGGCAAGGCTGGGTCTCACAGACGTAGGAGAGGTCGTGGGGGGAAAAGACATCAGCACGCTTGGTAAAGGAGCGGGACAAGGAAGAGCAAGCCCCTGGATGACAAGACAGATGACACAGTGGCTGCCGCCATGGGCTCCGCTACACGAAGCACCGAGAGGGTGGGCGGGACGGGACGGGACAGTGCTTTGCTGCTGTGCACGGGTCGCTGTGGGTTGGAACTGGCTCACGGCACCGAACAAGCACAAAACCCTGAGGTTCACCTCTCAGACCATGGCTGACAGCCACTTCCCTCCTCTTCCTGGACAGCCCCCGGCCCCCTCATGGACCCGCTCACTCCCTGGCACTACACTGGGCAAGGCTAGGAACCCCGTTCTGCCCTCGGGAGCCCATCGTGATCCCCCAAGGAGCTGAAGACATGACAGACTAACGGGAGGGAAGCACAGGGCGTGTGGAAGCCATAAGTAACCCCAGGGAAACAGATGGAGCCTGGGGTCCGGGAGGGCTTCCTGGAGGAGGAGGCGATGGATCTGGGGTAGAGGGTGCAGTGGGGGGACCAGCCAAGCACAGGCAGGGAGCCACAGTGCTGTGGGATTTCCAAGGGCAGGCCCCGGGCGTCTGCACCGGTCTCGTGGCCGAGTCTCTGGACAAGATGACGTCAATTAAGTAGGCTGAAGTTATGAAACGGGACTCCTGGCTCTAACTTGATGCCCCGGAGTGGGCTCAGAAGAAGGTGGGGGGGGGGGGTCCCAGAGAAGGGCAGAAGGTTCCGGAAAGGGTCAACGTCAAGGGGGACGGGGCAGGGTGGTGAGAGACAGGGGGAGGAAGGTCCTAGCGCAAGCTCTTACTGAGTTGGACTCATGGCAGGACTACTGGAAGGTCCTCGCTGAGTCTCAGTGACCCCATCTGAGAAACGGAGTAGGGGACAAAAGACCCGCCCCAGCCCTGACCGGGAAACAACATGACACAAAATTATAAAAGGGTCTTTATTTGTAAAAAGTCAAAGGGGCCCCTGGGGGTGGCAGGATAAGCAGGCCGGCTTCTCAGGGGTCAGGGGCATTTGGGCAGATGCGCTTGAGTGGGGGGGCGCCCTCCGAGTCCTCTGTGTCACCCTGGGCTGCCTTGGGGACAGGTGGCACTGGCTCAAAGACGGGGTAGGCTTCAGGGGCCTGGAGAGGAAGGGTGGACAGGCATGAGCCCCACCCGAACCCCGGAGTGCAGCCTCCTAGCCTCTGCCTTCTCCACTCCCTCCTGCACCCAGCTCCCCAAGATGCAGCTCAAGCAAAGCACCAGACAAAACCCAGCAACACGTTCTGCAGAAAGGGTGTGCTATCAGACATCTCTGAAAAAAGACATCACCGTTTTTGTGGGGAACAAAAACCAAGAGCTTTGTGACGGGCTTTCCTAAGACACTGGCCATCGCTAAGATGCCTTTTCCTGTTGGTCCCAAGAATCCAGGCTCGAAGCCTTGACCTGTGTCCTAAGACTACGTGCCCCGTCTGGACCCAGGAGTTCAGCAGCCAAGCCTTTGGCTAAGCCCCAAGCGCCCCTCCCCTTAGAGACCTCAGAGTCCAGCCTTCTGGCCTCTCTCACCTCAGCCTCCAGCAATTCTGGAACAGGCTCCTCCTTGGTCAGCATTGGGGGTTCATCGGTGCCACCTGCAGCTATGCCCCCGGGATCTGGAAGGTCAAGGCGACAGACATGCCCTGAGCAGCCACACTGTGACAGTCACACAGTTGGGGAAACAAACACCACCAGGCACCCATCCTGTACAGTCTGAGACTCTGGGAAAATGAGGGAGTCCCCGTGCCCACATGCCACCCGGGAGGCAGGGCACAGGAAAGAACATGCATGTCGGAGCAAGCAGGGCCACTTTCGGCAGAGGGAATTCATGCTCAGCGAGCACAGATTCTGGGCCTGGGCCACCTGGCCTGACCTCGGCTGGCCAAACACCTGCATTTCTCTCAGCCTCAATTTCCCTGTCTGTGAAACGGGGCTAACTGTAGCAGGGGACCACAAATGTTTGTGAGGATGAAATGAGAGCACACGGGCAAAGCCCTCAGCACAACCAAGCACTCAATGGGTGTCAATTTTTGTATCCCTATCGGCAAAGGATGGGGCAGCGCCCGGGGTGCCCGGAGTAGAACCAGGAGGTCAGCAGAGGCCAGCTCACAAAGGGCCTTGAATGCCAGGCTAAAGAGTCAGAGGCCCTGGGGAGCTACTGATACCTCTGAAGCAGGGGAAGGTCCCAGGCTGCCTTGTGGTTCTTTGGCTCTGGCAGTTGCGTGGAAGCAACCGGAGGGAGAAGTCATCGGGAGAGGAAGCGGGGGCCAGGTGTGAGTGAGAGATGGAGACCAGAGCCTGGACAGGGCCTGGGGGGGTGGACAGCCTAGGCTGACTGGACAGGAGAGGAAGCTTGCTGGGCTGACTGGATGGGAGAAGGAGCGTGCTGGGTAAACCTGAGGATTGACTTCTCTGAGCATTAGCTTCCTCATCTATAAACACGCATCATAGTAGGGACATCCGGTCCCACAGGGTTGGTGAGGATCAGAAACAAATCAAGCGTGACAAGTATTTAAGATGAGCTTTGTGCACCACTTTTAGACATCCCCTCAGCAGATCCTGGGCAGACGGCACCTACCAGATGTCACACCGTAATCTGAAGCTAGCATACGAGGGGGTACCCAAAAAAAAAAAAAAGGAATTCCCCCCCCCAAAGGTATGTATTTAAATTTTTTACAAAACAACCTCATCACCTTCAAAGCCCTCTCCGTTACACTTAATACATTTGCCAAATCTGCAATTCCATTCTTGGAAAACAGTGTTCAAACTCATCTGTTTAGATGGCTGACAGTACCTCCCTGGTTTTTTTCTTCACATCTACATCATCAAATCACTGTCCTTTCATGTCCCTCTTCATTCACAGAAACAAAAAGAAGTCACGGAGCAAGGGCACATGAGTAAGGTGCACGGAGCAAAAGAGGCACGCTGCTTTCTGCTAAAGACTGGTGTACTGTCTTGGGGGCAAAGCCAGTCCCCATCTGCCACAAAGCAGGCCTTTTTGTTGCACACTGTTCCACAGTCTTTTCAGAACCTCTACATAGAAAGCTTGATTAACAATCTGACCTGGTGGAACGAACTCCAAGTGCAATACAAGTCGACATTTTCGTCTGTTTGGGAAGTTGACGGACATCTAGAACAAGGTGTGTCATCCATCGACATTTCACCTTTTTTGAAAAGGGAAAACCACTCTTACGCTTGAGTTTTTCCCATAGTGCTGCCCTTGTAAGCTGTGTTCAACCTCACAACAGTTTCTGCGGCTTTTTTCCCAGGCAGGAAACAACATTTCACACCCGCACACTGTTCTCTTAAATCGGCCATCACAAAAAAACGATGTTCAAGCAAAACTGCTTTTATGAAAAAATTCACTGTGACCAGAGAGCTCCTTCCCAGGCAACGCCACTGAGTGCACTAACTCAGAGCTCGCCTGGGGGCGGGGGTGGGGGGCAACACGTTCTAAGACGAAAGCTCCACTCTGCCCAGCGCAATTCCGTTTTTGGGGGGTACCCCCTCGTAGTTAGTGACCAACTTTTAGGATGTTGACATGAGGTGGGAGTGCAGGAGAAACCCATTAAACTAAGAAAATGTTAACTGTACAGAAAATCTCAAGTGGTGATGGGGGTCTGAGGCATCAGGGAGACACCAGCTAGAGGGAAGAGGGTTACCCTCAACTCCCAGCAGTCAGGGAAGACCTCTCCGAGGAGGAGGCAGCAACAGAGGAGGGGCTGGTGGATTCAGCTGCGTAAAGGACAGGAATTCTGGGCAAACTGACCCTACCTCTCTCTTGACCCAGCTGTGGGGGCTGAGCTTCTTCTGGGTCCCCATCCGGGGGTCCGGCAGGCGATTCAGGGCGGCTGGGCTGGGGGGTGCCCCCAGGGCTGGGTTCGGTACCCTTTTGCAGGGACCCTTCCGAGTGGAAGCTCTGGTTGCTGTTCTCATCTGTAGGGGCAAGAAGCCAAAAGGGTTGGGCTTGAGGCCCCTGCGCCTCCCTCCTCCACTCCTCCAGCCCCCCTCCCCCAATCCTAGGATCCCCACATACCACTGAGACCCAGCAGGATGAGGGGGCCACCCCCTCGGGGACTAGCACCCCGGCCCCGCCGCTCTCGGCCTCGGGATCTCTCTGCACCACCTCCTGCGCGTCGTCGGTCCTGGGAGGAGAGGATTCGAAGGGTCAGAACTCCAAGTGCCTTTCTGATTCGATCAGTCAACCAACCAATCAATCAATCAACAATCAATCAATCTCACTGCCTTCAACTGCGGGGTGGAACTGCCCCTGAGTTTCCAAGACCCTGACTCTCTATGGGAGTAGCAAGTCCCCTCTTTCTCTGAGCAGCAGGTGGTTTCAAACTGCTGACCTTGCAGTTAGCAGCCCAATTTGTAATCCCCCCCACTGCGCAGACAAGGAAACTGAGGCACTGGGGAGCCAAAGGCCCTGCCAGAGCTGGAAGAGAGTAAGGTTCAGAACCCTGGGGTGAGGAGCAGGAAGACGAAGCAGGGGGCTTGGAATGGCTACTGATCCTTGGCATCTAGCTTTGGGAGAGGCCTGGCCATGGAAGCCAGGGTGGGCAGGGGGCTTGCCTGAGGGTGCAGGGTGCGGGAGAGGGCTTGCTCACCTCCTCCTGGGGGTCCACCACTGGCACCCACTTGAAGATACGAAGGGACGTGTCGCCCACGGTCACCCAGCGCTTCTCCCTGTGGGAGAATGGGGGTAGCCTGGTCAGAGAGGCCTGAGGGAAGAGCTCCCCCATCTGGGCACATCTGGGGGTACCTACAGAGGTGGGGTAGGGACACGAGGTACGGAGCAAATTGCTGATGGGGCACGGCTAAGACAAAGAGTGCCCTGCGGCCCCCAGAGCACAGAGAGGAGGTCCTGCTAAAGTCAGGGGACAGCTTGGGGCTTTCCCATTACTACAGGACGGAGTAGAGTTGCCCCCCCCCGGAGGGTTTGCAAGGCCCCGAGTCTTTCGGGAGCAGCCCGCTGAGTTTGGGGCCACAGCTCTGCAAAACCCCGAGGCGCACGGGAGGGCATGGCTCTGGGCCCGGGGGAGGGCCCCCGGGAAGGAGGATTCTGGAGCATGCTTGGGCTGGCGCGGGATCACAGCTGGGGAGGGGTGGGGCGGGCACGGAGAAGGACCCCCAACTCGGGGAAGGCACGGTGGGGGGTCGCTAGGGAGAGGGGAGCGCGCTCTTGCCAAGCGGGTGCGCCGCTGGAGCAAACGCCTCAGACCCCGGGGGCCCCAGCTGGAGAAGCGAAGGCAGAAGGGGAGGCGCGGCGGC